TTTTCCACTGCTATTACAATTGGTTCAATGAAACATCCACTGGTACACTTGTCCAGTTTCTTAATATGACCTTCCGATAATAACTTCTGTTTTTCCGCTTGCACCCTTTCTTTTATTGGATTGGTATTCTCCTCCCCTTCTCTTGAGTTGGTCTTTGGATAGTAGATTTGCACACTTGTCCCTGGGGGTCCAGACCCATTATGCATCTAGTTATGCAATCTGTGATTAGAAACATCGCTCCCTTCACATCCCAGCCTGCCGAACGTAGGTCTTTCATTAGTGTTCCCAGAAAAAAGGTTGGTTGTTTGTTGTAATCCACGAATTGGACTGCCAGTTTTTCTGCCAGAATAAATCTTCATCTTTTTGGTCTTCTGTTAATTATTTTATTTTTGCCCAGTTTAGGAAAGACAAGGACTTCCGGTGTTCACTGTTAGTTGTATATCTGGTAATCAACTTGGACCATAGCCTTAAGTGAGTTTACTTTGTTAGATTTTGGGTCTCTAAGTAGATCGATTTTTTATATTCGTACTTCCTCCCAATTCATTATTTGGTTTGTTTCCTTTATTCTCTCCTTGACATATCTCGAAATCTTTTCCCCCATTGGCATGGTTGTCTGTAGCGATATTATCTCGAATTCTTCGCATGACCCCAAAAATTTCCATAACCAGTTTCCACTCTTCTGAATCGTCAAAGTCTTCTGTTGTTTCGCTTACGTGTTGTGAGCTACGCATTTTTGCGAGATGATTAGGTTTATTGCAGTTCTTGCATGTCTTTCCCATGGCCGGACAAGATTTCAGGTGCCCGGTTTCAAACGTGCGTTTACACCTATTACAGAGTTTGTCCATTTGAGAATGTAGATCTATGGATTACTAGTTTTTTTATTATTCTCCCGTTTAAAAGGTTGTTTTCTGTTCCCTCCATTTGAATTTCTCACTGCCAATTCCGGCTCTTGTTTTCTTTTAATACCCGAATTGTAGGTTGATGTTGTTCCCGCAGTTGCCGCTGCATTTTTTCCTAAAATGCCATTGTGATCAGTTTTCTATGTTTAAAATTTTTAACCCGTTTTAAAAGCGAGCGTTTCAAAAGTCAGCGTATCTTCATTTTTGAGATCAAAAAATCACAAACGATCTCGTCCCCCACAGTTCCCAACTCAGATCTTGCTGCTTGTGCAGTCAATGCCGCGTGAAATGAATGTAGTTTCTCTCCTTGTTTTTGCGTTTTCCTAAAGAGTTTATATCTTTCGTATGTTACGCGTTTGAATTGAATCCGATGCTAGCTCAATTCTTTCCTGGAATGACATTTTGGATACTTCCGCGTGGCGATTCTGTCGCAGAAACCTCTTCTTTCTTTCCGTTCCCAGGGAAAGGAATAGTCTGGATACGAGTAAATTTTTGTAAATTTTAGTAAATTTTGTGACTAACTCTCGATCCTCGCGCTCTTCTCTCTTCGTTCTCGAGTACCACTCTATCTCTGGCTAGTTTGTCTCTGAGATCTCTTGCTGCTATTTCAGTTGCGTTTTCCCAATCCCTCGGTGTTTCAGATCTTGGGCGTGATTCTTACAGTATGTCTTTTGGGTGTTTAAACATAATCTCCGGGTTAACATTTTCCTTGACCGTGACAGCCATTAGAAATTGCTCTAACCAAATTTTTTATTGCCACGGTGGGTCTAGATTTGCTGATGCCCAAAATACTGGTATTCCCACTTTGGTACGGTTTTTTTGAGCTGAGAAACCTGATGCCTGCGCCATGTGATATCCTACGTGCCTATCGTGGGATAAAACTGATGGATAACTCCAAACAAATAATATGTTTTTTTTTTAAATTATAGCTTTTCTCTGTGAGAGCTTCCGAGATCAACGTATTTTAATTTGGTTTGTTCGATTCTGCGGTATAACTAAAGTTTGAACTTCAGTGACCTTGGACAAAATAATATAATAAACATAAATCGATATATATGTATATAAAAATATTTTATATCTCTCAAGGTTACGTTACGTAGCAGTACCACATAAACAATTTCAAAACTTTGATTTGATTACGATCTTGAAATAAAACAAATTCGCATTGCAATTAAAACAGAAAACCGAGTTTAGACCTCAACCTACAAAAAAAATTAAAATGACATTTTCTGGCTGTCGGTCACAAGTATATTCTCATTCAGAGTTTTAGCAGTTTTGCAGAAAGTTTTTTTTTTAAATTGTTAAAAACAGCAGGTTTTGTTTTGACAATTGGGCTGTACTTGACCAAACATGAGATTTGTCGACATTGCAATACCGATTTTTTTTTCTGTGATTTGACGGGGTTCGCTTTGGTGCTATGTTTTCCATTTGTGCCCGATCAAGCACTGACATTGAAAATGTAAGAGATGTAAGTTAAAGATAGTCAGCTAGCTAAATTGGAAATAATTATGATATCAAGTTTTTGGCAGATTTTTTTTCCGACTCTTGAAGAAAATGAGGTAAATGTTAAACTCGGTGTGGATTTTTTTTAAGATTTCGGTTTTTAACTAAATTTTTACGGAATATCCAATAATTTAAGCTCAGGGTGAACGAATTAAATTTTATTGGAACAAATATGTTTTTTTTTCGCAAAGATATTGCGGTTGGAAAATTGAACTTATTAGGATATTTAACGCGCAATATATTTCGTTTTCACGAATTTATGAGACTCAGAAATCATTCTGAGTGAATTTTAGGAAAATCATTTTTTGTAATATAACGCTTCTAGATGTTACATACATCAATTATAGGGAGAAAACTAAAAAATCTGAAAATGTAAAAACTCAGTCAGTTTTTTCTTAATGATAACCTATTCATTTGACTAAAAATGGCACTTGAAACACCCAGAGATCACGCACTCATCTCATCCTGATGAGAATTCATTTTGAAATTTTCATTGTTATACATCGACCCGAAGATTGAATTTTTTTTCAAAATTCAAATTTCTTTTTTCAATTATGTTGATTGCAGTCGTTTGAAAATAAACACTTAAAAATAAAACAATTATAGGTATAATTTCAAATTAAGAGTTCAGCATTTCCGAATTATTAAATTTTAAAATTTCAGTTTCTTACCTTTTGTTTTAGTACCTCAAAAATTTTTTTGTTCCGACTTTTGAAACGAAAGTAACGGATTATTTGTGCTCGGATGGTTTTTTTTCTTCAGACAAATTTCGACTTTTCAGCTAGCCATTTTTGACGGATTTTTTTTTGAAAATCATTTGAAAAGTTTTGTTCTACTGAGATTTAATTTGAAAAGACTTTTCAGTTGCGATGTTTTTTCGTAAAGTTATGGGGGTTTCAAGAATGCCATTTTGGCCAATTATTTACGCGTAAGTGGAGATTTAATCATCTTAGAAATCGTTCTAAATTGGTTAAATGAAACTTAATTGCCATAGTTGAATTCCTACTATGAGCAAAATCTATTCAATATAGCTGTGGGGGGATGATTCTCACAAAAAATCTCAAATTAAAAAAAAATTTCTTTTCATTTTGTATAAATATTTTTCAATTTTTTCTGGTTTTTAGTGCTCCATTGAACTTAAAATGAAGTCGTAACATCCAGGGCTTTGCGCTAATATGAGCAGTCTTGTTTTGTTTTGTACTTCCTGATTCTAGAAACTAATAATGATATTTTTTATCTATAATAAAACCAAACAGGACTGCTCGTATCAGGGTGAAGCCTTGAATGTTCCGATTTTTTTAAAGGTCCGTGGAGCAGTAATAACATGAAAAAACAAATGTAAAGCAAAATAAAATGAAAAAAGTATATTTTTTTTGTTATGAGATTTTTTGTGAAAGTCTCCCTCCACACGCCATATAAAGTACAAAGTGATAACTTTTGCTCATAGTATTAAACCAATTATGGCAAATAAGCTTTCTTTAACCATTTTGGATTAAATCTCCGCTAATTCGTTAATAGCGCGAAATATGTCGCACGTTATTTGTTCCAAATTGGCCAAAATGGCAACCTGTAAACCCCCACAACTTTACGAAAAATGATCACAGGTGAAATACCTTTTGAAATTTGAGCTCAGGACAACAATACTTTTGAATATTATTAATAAATCCGTAAAAATCGCTAGGTAAAAAGTCGAATTTTGTCTGAAGAAAAAAGCACCCAGAGCACAAATATTCCGTTACTTTCGTTACGAAGGTCGAAACAATAACCAAGTACGTATACAATATTTCGTGAGTCGATGTGATGAATCTATAAATAACAACGGCAGATCGCCAACGGTTGCTTCATCTATCCACCATCCTATGAAAAGTTGACCAACTGCTTTCATTAATGTGATCGTGGACGGGTATTGTATGAGGGACAATGCATACCATCTGAAATCAGATGTGTATTTACGGTCAGTTTTTGTCTCCTATAAAAAAATGCAATCTCAGCTTTCATGATTTTTTATTTGCTGGTAGGACCTTACAGAATACAGAATGCACACGACATGCGATGACCAAAATTATTAATGCTGCAAACCTCACCATAAAAGTCAGATAATATGTACAATTTGGTTGAATCGTGCTTGATCATAGTAGCGACGTTGCATAGCTCAGGGAGGCTTTAAGACTAATTCAACATCTCAACTTTTTTCATTTCTATTTTTTACATTTAAATTTCTCACGTTATTACTGCTCCATAGACCTTAAAAGGCAGTCGGAACATTCAGGGCTTCGCCCTGATACGAGCAATCTTGTCTTCTTTTCTTCTGACTGCATAGGCATTACTTTGGTTTATTTGCTTTCATGAAATTGCCGTTTTTTGTGCAGATCATATTGCTTTTTGATCAGATTGAGTTCTCTGAATACAATAAAATCGAACTGCTTTCACTTTGGTCATTTTGGTTTAAGTTTATGATCAAAATGATTTCGAAAGTATTTTTTTCTAAATTGCTGGTTATTTAACTTCAAAAAATGCTCAGGCCAAAATTTTCGTTTTTTGAAGTGCCTGAAAAATTGAGCCACAAAAACTAATTGATAGCTCAGGGATGCATTAGAACAAACGTAGCTTGTATCATTTGATAAAACTAGAGTTATATTGGTCTTATAAATAAACTGGTTAAATGTACAGTTCCACCTGTAACTTGCTCTACCTGTAATATATTTTAAAGTTCCTTCGATAAAGCATGCAAGTATATAATAAAAGTTTTCTCCTTATGCTTTTATTTGAAGTGAAGTTCATTCAGCTGACTCGTTTCTCCGAATGTTTGAAAGTTCGCGAAAACGATTCTGTTTCATTGGAGCAGGAAATCATCTTTAAAGTCATTGTAGTGCGACCCGATTGGTTCAAAATACAGCCAATCATAGTGTAGTATAACTCAGAGTAGTCTCCTTCGTCCAATAGGAATGTAATAGAGACATACTCGTTTGCTGCACCCTTCAAGTCTATTATGACATCATCATAGGTCCTAAAAAGAAAAGGTCAAAAGTTTGGTTTGGAGAAAAACATCAAATTCAAGTTCATTTTTTCTAACCACCGTAGCAAATATCAAGGAAAAGTATAAAACGGAGCAAAACCAACATACCAAAAACATTATGGACAAGTTTTGCGGTTTTCTTCATTTGAGCTTTCAAATTTTCATCGAATCTGATTTTTTTTTCAGAAAAAAAACTAACCCATTCTTCAGTGTTTGTAAAATATCTGAAAACGAGCAAATCTTGACCATTCCCGCTTAAAATATTGAAATACTCAAAAACTTAAAACAGTCATTGTAAAACTAGTTAAATTGTAACTTACACTGATATTCGTTCCACTCTTTTCGAGCTCATAGGCGCCCACTTTCCCAATTCCCCCAACACATAGACAGCCGGTAACGTCTTCCCCTTGGCATCTACCCCCTGTCTCTGAAGCCTCGGACTAGTGTACATTAAGCAGGGTTCTTCTTTTGTGCAGTTCTCCAATATGAAAGTTCCGTTATGGTAAGTTAAAGTTTTGTACCATCCGACTTCTGAGACATACACCACAGAGTTTAAACCAGGGTTGAAACCTAGATCGTCCATCGTCATCTTGAACGACTTTTTCAAATCGGTAGCAAAAATAATTCCGTACGTCAAAAAACCAATTTTGCAGAATGTTGTCCAGACTTGACCGTGAGGTCCGTCTGATATAAGACCAGTCTGCTGAAGTATCTGTCGGTCAATTGCAAAGGCAGGTTGGTCTGGTTTGAGGATGAGTCCGTCTTTGTTCGTCGCACTGGCAATCAGGGATAATGATTCGCACCCGATCTTGTCCGAAGTGGCGAATGGACCCGCGCTCAAAAGTGCAACCATTGCTTCTAACTTAGGATACGGCTCCGATAGGCTGAAACGCAACACTCAGTTAATTTGTTTTCAATTCATTATTTGGTTAGAGTTATCGTTAGATCCGTTGTAATTTTTTAAACTAATGCAGAAAACGACTGACAAAAATAAATTTGAATCTGAAAGTCTGCAAGCTATTAAGCTGTTAGCAGGGAAGTTGTACTCTTAATCCATTTTGGTCGAGTATAAGTTCTTTTACTCGTTTTGATTGTTCGTTTGTCATAGTTGATGTAATTAGAATGATATGATAGTGTAGAGGGCAAACTTGAGGGGGGAAATTCAAGTTTGAGGAAAGGGAAATTTCATTTGAGCGAGCCTATGCATCTCACTTGTATGGATTTCCGGGTTGGCTAGTAGTCGTCCAGAAGGTGTCTTTGAATGGAGCCAGATTCATGGCCCATGCGAACATCGATGTTTCCCCAATTTTCCACTGATCATTGCCTGGCTGGTAGTCATCGCTCACTCGACCCTGGAAACAGTATAGTGAGGGGGGAGGGGGTTAGAGTGTCTAAGGGGCGGATTTAGAGGGGGGGGGCGGATGGGCGGGGAGCGGTCGTTTCTTCCCCCCCCCCCCCTCAGGGATTAGACCCCCTGCCGACCCAAAGGGTCCCCCCTTTGGTACTTTTTAAGAAATCCATTTTTCGCCGACCGACCCTAAAATTTTTCTAAAGGCACCTTTGGTGCCAATATATACTAAATTTGAGAGGGGAGCGCGCGCCAAAAAAAACGCGATTTTTTGGTCAAAATTTTCCAAAAACTGCCTAAAAACGCCTTTTTTAGACTGTTTTTTCAAAGTTTTGCCTGCGGCACAGAAAAATTTGCAAAAACAGGGACCAAATGGTGCTAAGGCGCCCCTGCTAAGGGGACCTCCGTAACTCCCCAAAAAGTCCCTTATGTTCAGGTTTCCACGACTTCCATTTTAGCCGAATGATCCTGATGTTTTCCAATCCTGATGGGAGGGGCAAAAACACCCAATTTTTAGTCAAAACCTTCCAGAAAATGCCCAAAACGTCTTTTTTGGCCTGTTTTTTTTACACATTTCCAGAAATGTTTTTGTGAAGTTTTTTGACAAAAGGAGTCTTTATTAGCGTTTTGAGAGACCTCCCTCTGAAATTTAATTTGGTAACCCTTGAAAAAGTTGACAAAATGGAAGATGGTTTTAGACATCTTCCCCCAGCCATAAAAATGATTTCTGGATCTCCGGTATCGAGCTTTCTTGTGCAAGATTTAGATTTTAGATAGAGCCATGACACAGTCTGATTATTTCAAAAAGAATTTTTCTCGCGTGAAAAAAAACATGCACTAAAAAGAATTGAATTGAATTGAAATCATCGTAAAGCAATTATGAGACTAAAAATTGTCATCTTAAATAGCCAGGAGAATAGATCAAATGATCACATTCCTTCGCTTTGTCCGAGTAGCAATGATTGAGTGGTTAAGTTTTAACAATCCAAAGGTCAGAGAATCGAGCAGGATACCATGATCCGTGCTCGCTGCTTGAGGGTGAGGAAACATTAACCAACCCAAACATGTAATTATGCAGAAAAACGGTTTTTAAATAAAGATCTAAACAGCTCCGATGTTAGTTGTTTCCCATGTGGATAAATGGCCATATTTTATATACACGCTTGGTTATTTCTTGACATGAATGTAAAATGAATGATCAGAAAAGAACTCGAACCCGCACCGGAGTTCCATGGATAATAATCGATTATATTGAATTTTCGTGGTCTGTCTCAATAAATTTGGATAATAATCGATTATAATCGATTAAAAACGGATTATAATGAAACTATTTTTCTATTCAATAAAATCCGAATATAATCGATTATAATCGATTATAATCGATTATTTTTGGAAGAAAACGAAACTTGTTTTCGAGGCAAAATAATCCATTTTTAATCGATTATAATCGATTATAATGGATTTTTTCGAGGGTTATTTATAAAATTTTTAATTTTGTTCAAAATTATTTCATTTCCCATTTAGTGCAGTTGCTACGTATTACGTTTCATGAAATGTTAAACTTCAGAACAAAATTTATATTTTTTTTACTCTACTTTTTTAATTCATCGCAGTTTGTCTAGCACTTCATTCACTGTTTTTCGCCCCCACCCTCCAGTTTACTGCCTCCTACCCCCCAGTTTACCTCCCCCCGTTAAGCCTCTAGTTTACTACCCCCACCCCCCGCTTACTCCCCCTCCCACCATTTACCTCCCCCAAACCCCCCCCCCCCCCCCCCCCCGATTTATTTACCCACCCTGGTTTATTTACCCATCCCCCCCAGCTTATCCCCCCCCAGCTTATCCCCCCCCCCAGCTTCCCCCCCCCCAGTTTACACTACCCCTTTAGCTGAGGGGGGGGAGCTTGAGGGGACGAGGGGATGACGTTGAGACAAATGGGAGAATATGGGAGAACATGAAGATGAACACATTTAACCTGTTATTCTGATTCGTCTTAAATGTCTTAAATTATTCTTTGCTTTAACTGCATGTTTTTAGGAAAACTTAGTAATTTTACATTTTTAAACTTGCTTTTTTCTTCCAGACATAGAAAGAACTAAAAATAGAATAGCCTAATTAACGAAATAAAATGGATTATAATGGATTTTCTTGACAAAATAATTGATTATATTGAAGAAAAAAATGGATTATAATGGATTATAATGGATTATAATCGATTTTTATTTTTCGAAAAAATCGATTTTAATGACCACATAATCGATTACGTGGTCTAAATTTGCCACAATAATGGATTATAATGGATTATATTGACAAAATTTCAAACAACATTTTTCCAATATAATCGATTATTATCCATGGAACTCCGGTGCGGGAAACGAAACGTGGCTGCGAGAATTCCCCGCACCGAGCTCCCATGGATCCTAATCGATTATATTGTCATTATATAGACAGTGTCTATGAAACTACAAAATAATCGATTATAATCCATTAAAAATCGATTATAATGACACTATTTTTCGAAGCAATAAAATCCATTATAATCGATTATAATCAATTATAATCGATTTTTTTTGTGTGTTTATTCCACAACATTTGAGTTTGAGTTATGATCCATTATAATCGATTAAAATCCTTAGACGCTCGGCGGCCATCACTTAGAGTGTTATCTGGTTTTACAATGTTATTTGGTATTTATAGTTCGGATTGCCTTTTTTCACAATATTTCATATTTTTTTAAATTTTTTTTTCAAATTTTCGATCAAAAAAGTTTAATCGTTAAAATAAAAAAAATTTTAAATTGTTTATATTGATGATTTTCATGAGATTATTGCATATTTTTGTGCCCAAGATCTTGTTTCTTTTGATATTTTCCCATGAGATTATTAAATTTTTTGTGCACAAAATCTTGTATATAATGATGATTTTCTGCATTTTATTGCATATAATTGTGCCCAAATTCCCTTAGTTTTTCATAATTTCGCATGAGATTATTAAATTTTTTGTGCACAAAATCTTGTATATATTGATGATTTTCTTCATTTTATTGCATATAATTGTGCCCAAATTCCCTTAGTTTTTCATAGTTTCGCATGAGATTATTAAATTTTTTGTGCACAAAATCTTGTTTATATTGATGATTTTCATGATTTGATTGCATTTTTTGTGCCCAAATTCCCTTAGTTTTTCATAATTTTGCATGAGATTATTAAATTTTTTGTGCACAAAATCTTGTATATATTGATGATTTTCTTCATTTTAATGCATATAATTGTGCCCAAATTCCCTTAGTTTTTCATAGTTTCGCATGAGATTATTAAATTTTTTGTGCACAAAATCTTGTTTATATTGATGATTTTCATGATTTGATTGCATTTTTGTGCACAAAATCTTATATATATTGCTGATTTTTTTAAAAATTTTATTGCAGTATTTTAAAACAGTAATGAGAATTTTAGATATATGCATGTTTTCGTATTTTTGCAGTTTTGTAATCTTACATCTTTAAACTTGTTTTTTTCTTCCAGGCATAATTAGAACTAAAAATAGAATCGCTGAATTAGCTAACTAAAATGGATTATAATCGATTATAATGGTTTATAATGGATTTTTTTTACCTCATAAATAATCGATTATAGTCGATTATAATGGATAAGAATGGATTTTCTTACCTCATAAATAATCGATTATAATGGATTTTCTTGACAAAATAATCGATTTCAGTGACAAAAATTATGGATTATAATCGATTATAATCGATTATAATGGATTATTTTTTCTCAAAAATAATCGATTATAATGGCAATATAATCGATTTCGTGGTCTGAATTTTACATCCGTAATGGGTTATAATCAATTATTTTTGTCTCGGGAATCCATTATAATCGATTAGAATCCATGGGCGCTCGGTGCGGGTCGGATTTCATTAACTATATCCCAATTTTGCAAAAGGGGGGGTTCGTTACTAGTTATAAAAATCAATGCAAACAAGACTGCTCGTACCAGGGCGAAGCTCTGGATGTTCCGACTGCCTTTTAAGGTTTATGGAGCAGTAATAACATTTAAAAATTCAATGAAAATTAACAAAATGAAAAGTTTTTTTCTTCTAAAATTTGAAATTTTTTATGAAAATCATCCCCCCACACGCTATATAAAGTACAAAAGGATAGATTTCGCTCCTTGTAACAAACCATTTATGGCAAATAAGCTTCTTTTATCCAATTTGGAACGATTTCTAAGCCGGATTAACTCTCCGCTTACGCGTTAATAGCACGAAATATATCGCGCGTTACTTGTCCCAAATTGGCCAAAATGGCAATCTTTAAACCCCCGTAACTTTACGAAAAATGATCACAGTGAAACATCTTTTAAAATTTGAGCTCAGGACAACAATATCTTTCGAAAGATATAAAAAAATTCCGTCAAAAATGGCTAGTTAAAAAGCCGAAATTTGTCTGAAGAAAACAAAAAACCCACCCCGAGCACAAATATTCCGTTACTTTCGTATCGAAAGTCGGAACAATAATTCATTGCTTAATCCTTGAATTGTTTCTTTATAGGAGTGGCCATTCGTTAAGAGGTACTCGAGGGGGGATATAGTTCAAGGATCCGGGTCTCTTTTCCAGTCCCCCCCCCCCTTTGATATTTTCTGAAATTCAATATATGAAAGTCTATTTAAAATGACTTTTTATGTTTAAACTGCGTTAAAACGTGTTAGCGTGAACAAGTGAACAAATTTGTACAGCTTTTTTTAACGTGCTAAATGTCGTGTGAACATTTTTTGAACAGTCTTATTTTTTAATTTCTCGAGGGGGGTGGGAAACTGGAAAAGAGCCAGAACCGGTATTTCTAATATGCATCTTAAGCACCTGTGAGACTGCGTTTGAGAGTAGACTTTGTAATGCACTTTTGGGTGGGGACATGCAGTATTTTATGTAGATGCCGCTCTGGTCCGCCGCCTCGCCCATCTGGTAGAACATGTCGGAGGCAGCCGAGAGCGTGGAGGTGGTAGCCACGCACTCCTCCAGAATTCTATTTTGCCAGTCCTGGAAATAATTAATCGATCTTCTTCTATTGTAACGACCTTGAAGTAGGCGGTCACTGTAAAAGTAGCACAGACCATTCCAATTACAATTATCATTGGTGGGGTTACGGTGCATTCTTTAACGGAAGCTTTTGGTCGGTACAGTGCATTCTTTAATTAGGTCAATATATGGGGATTTTTAAAGTTAATTTACCTGTTCGTAGGTGTTGAGACCCCACACTTTAGACTGCTGGAACAGAAACTGCCACAGTCTTGCGTCTGCAGGGATGGCAATGTCCTCTTCCACTATGAACTCAAATGAGCCCCCGTTCTGCTTGGCATACACGTTGTAGGGTGAAAAGTACCTATGCCCAGAGGTCCACTTAAGAAGACAGCACACCTCTTAAAAATTTTGCACGCCTCTCCCTCGGCCCCTATTATTTAGTCAGATTTTGTAAAAGTTAGCAATTTGGTCGTGTATAATGCTTCATAACAACGAAATAAATCCAATATCAAATTTTTTTACACCCGAGCAAACTCGAGAAAATTATAAAAAATATCAAGTTGGGTGTATTCAGTCAGTGTTTTTAGGAATGTTTTTGAATTCTGAGACACCTAATATAAGGATCGGGTGCTAGCTTAAATTTTAACCTTCCCCTTCACTCTGATTATGTATTAAGACGAGAATTAAAACACAATATGAGCTAAATTGATCGTTTGGTTATTTAACTCTAAGTAAGTCGTTGATGCAAGATTGCGGCGTTATTAAGTGGATCCCTGTTATGAGCTACCACTGGCAGCTTGGTCCCGTTGAAAACAGCCGTCAAGTTGTCCGGAAAGGTCTCCTGTCAATTGTATCAATCGTTCGAATGAGTTCAAATGAGTTCAAATGAGAAAAGGGATAAAAGAGAAGATTTCTATGCTTAATTTTAAATCAATTATAATGTCATTTTCAGTCAGTCATTATAAAATTCTAAAACGATTGATTATAATTGTTTTAAATTGGATTATGAAATCCGTGGTCAATAAATTTGTAAGTCATTTCACATAACCCGTCATCTCTTTTGCAAAGGAAAGCTGAAGGTTGCCATCGCAAAAGGCATTGTTGTGAAATGTGTTTTTAATTAGATACCTGCCTTAATGCATCTATCCGATAACCATTGGACTTCGACTCACTTTTGTAGTTGAATGGAAAAGATACCGTTCTTATTCAAACATTTTTATTTATTTTTTTAAAATTCTAGATACTAGCGGTAGCAATAATCCTTATTATGGTGCAGTCATTTATCTCAAACCAGTAGGGGAATCTCTGCTTTTTGGACCAATCATATTGTAGAACCGCTCACCCAATCACACAACTGTTTTGAATACTTTCAGTTAGCAATCATGGCAAAAATCTCAATATCGGTAGTCTGAAAGAACCATTGTTGGGGAAAGCCAACAAACTCTGGAAGTACTTCACGAAAATGAACAAAAAACAATGAGAACGTATGAGATAGCAGAAGAGCGAATCACAAAAGAAAAGTAGAAAATAGGCGACCTTTAAAGATACGAGGCGGACAAAAAAGTTAGATATCGTGATCACATTTGAACGTGATATAGGAGAAACGTCCAAACAAGATTGGATACGTGACAATTTAAACTTCATGATGAAAAACTGCAGTTTCTATCGAAGAATCCGATCAGAAAAGCTAATTTCAACGGATATCCTAAATCAAGCAATCATTGACGACCAGGAAAGCTTTAATCATTTTAAAGAAACAAACATGGAACATACTAGTACCAAGGTAAACTGTACACAAAATTCAATGCCGTGAAGAAAAGCTGGTTTGAATATAGAAAATCATGCTCCTGAATGAAATGTGAAAACGCCTTCAACAAAACTAATCAAAACGTATGTGCGACAAAAAAATGTATGTAGTGTGTTTAAATACAAAACAATTTTGTTGAGTTACGGGAATTGGAACAAAAAACCGGCGATAAAAACTGTAGAAAATTTTCTAAAAAATCAGAATTGTACATGGATCTCATCGGAACAACCGCCATTAGTCAGAAGAGGAAATAAGTAACGATCAAATTTACTTGGCTTCAAACATCAAAAGAATCTTCAATGAGAACGGCGTGAAATTGAAAAAAAAAAAGAAATATGGCAATTATTATAATGAACACCCCATTAGATTTGACTAGCCAGTCAGCACTTGAAAACAAAATATCAATCATGAATTGAAACAGAGGAATTAGTATCGGAAAATTCTACCAGTAGGCATGAGAAAGCGAGCTGTATCTGGCAGCTTTTCAGATGACACCGTCAACATCATTGACAAAGTTGTTATTTAGCTACAAAATAATGGATGGATGAAAGAGCAGACACCATTTATGATTCTCTTTGGGCACGAAAAAAACCTTCTGGGGAATGCCAATCTACCTAAATTAGTGATCGAAATAGACAAGAGACAATGTCTATAACCGACCAATAATGCGGTTCTCCTGAATTCCTGTAAGTCAAATTTGCATTGTAACGCAATTAAAAATTGTACAAACATTCAAAAATCTGTTCCAAAAAATTGACAAAATCTCGAATAGAATTACTGGAAGAAGAATCGTGAGTAAATTTATCCTTCGCATCGAGATATCGAAAAACGCATGAGATGAGCTTTTCTACCGCTAAAGTGAAATGGCTAAAGGTGGCGTGGCGTGGGCATTAGAACATTTAATGGCTCACAATTTGCAATTGGTGAGATCACAACGGCCTTTTATCCGCGCTAAACGCCAAACAATTACTGAAACAAAGCAAGGTCTCGTAGATTCACACAATGGTTGAATAGATTGCTTCCCATCAAATTAAAAAAAGGTCAATTTCAGTTAAAAAAAAAGTGGAATTTTTTAGTTTATCTTCAAGACTTGCCTCCAGAGAAGCGTTTCCTTCTTCACTTTACGGAACAGATGCGTAGCTGCAACATCGGCACAAGATTTTTGAGAATCTATGCATAAAACGCGGTGGTAAAAATGGAAAAAGAGAAATGTTTAAAAAATCTAAATTCATATAGAATACCATTAAACTTGAATAGTAAAAAAAAATTGCTCATTTTCATATTAAACCCGTCGGGTGGAAGGAACAAAAAAAATATTACATACCAAACGGTCTTTCTTTGCAATTATTTTCAATTACGCCATAGAAAACAATTAAAAATTGTAATTATAATCATTCTTGCTCAGTATTTTGCGCAAGCAATTGCGTCTTTTTGATATTTCAAAAAAATTGAATAGCTAAATTATGAGATGGGTTTCAATGTTTTTAAATCATCAGTACTATATAAATTAAACACAGATAAGAGTCCTTGGGACGTGTGAAGAAAGGGAACGTGTGTATTAAATTCTACAAGTACTTGGGACAAAATCAAATTCTAATTTTGAAAAATTACTTATTGCGCAGAAGAGCAGGGACAGATTTGAAACCATCAAAATTCTCAGTCACATCAAAGATCAGTGGACAGCCGACTCCAAACTACTTTTTCAACAATCTCTTTTATCTTATCGATCAAGGCTCAAACAAACTGATCAATCTGATGATAAACGACGACAAGATCCAGAAAGAGGCGTTCGGATAACCAGACAATTTTCTTGGCCTATATCAAGTCGGTCAAAGGGGGTCTTGACATAAAATACGAATTGTGTTTCATCGACAGCAAACTAGTGGTACCAGCAGATCTCCGATCATTCAAGAGACACACCCGGTCCAGTTTGGGTAAAAGGCACTTGCAGAGAACATATGGGTGGTAACATCTAAACACAGAGATCTATCATCACGGAAGAAATTGCTCGGAGCGCATCAATGCTGGTAAAACTTTGAAAATGTTCTTGAGGGTAACGAAGACGCAAAAGTTATTGGAATTAAGAAAGGGAACGTGAAAAATAACTTGGACCTTGTGGGCTCATTAGATAATTTATCAGACTGGATCATGGGTGTGTTTTATCTCAAATGATTTCAAAAATATTGGCCGGGAAGAGCAATTTTATACAGTGAGGGATCATAAATCCAATGGAGTGTTGCAAATGACTTTTCTAACTAAATAAAATCTTAACTAGTAGAACTCTTTTTTAGCGAACAAAAACCATCGTTAGGCAGAGTAATCGAAAGAAATGTTTGAAACTTAATATCTACAAAACAACCGTCAACAGTACTCAAAAGTCTTAAGAGAAGTCTCCCAACACTGCTTTGGAAAACCTGCTTTCACACTCAATTGATTTAGATAAAGAGAGGTTAACCATCTTATACGCAAGAGCTAAGAATTAAGCGAAAAATGAGGTAATCGAAGATGGTTACGTCAAGCAACGCACACCAGACAAAACAAGAAAAGAAAATGAGAGCAACCCGACAGACAAATCGGCCGACATTAAACGAAGAGCCCCTTATTCAAACCCTTTCTCGAAAAGAATTAACGCGTATAGAATAACCTAAAGGAGAAAAGAAGGACAACAGTATTTCAGTTTGTAAAAAGGAAAGTCTTTGTTGCGAATCTTACCATTCGTCTTATTTCATTTAATTAGTCTTAAAGTATCTTAACTGGTTAATTTAGATTTGACCTTGTTATCTTCATTCGCTCCGACGGAGAGAATGACAGCTCACTTTTTAATGTTTTAATTTAGAGATTAATTCACTTTTTAAACATATCTTATTTGTAACTAAGTAGAATTATCCGTAACAAAGAAACATTTTATCATGGCGCAGTCAAACAGCAACGAATCAAACGTGAGAGGTATACCTTCATTTTGGCAAAACCACACAGTGGACCCACCAATTCCTTGGGAAGAGTGGAGCGATCTATTCCAGCTAGCATTAATCGCAAAGGAGAGTATCGATATCGAAAATCTCTTGAATCCATCGGAACGATATCACCCACTTCCCCCAACATTGGAAAATCCGCCGGAAAATGAATCCGATGCTCAAAAAACATCTCGCATCGAGAGGAATATTCGAGAACAAAAGAGATTCGATGATGAAGAAATGGCCTCAATAAAGTCAGAAACCAAGAAATTCAACGGCATGAGACTTGAAGAGGCGGACAAAAAACTCAGATCCATACTCTATCTAGCCCCCGGAAACGAAGGAAAGAAAATATTCGGCCAAAAGTTCACGAGAGTTAAAGTTCTACGAATTACTTTCAAAGAATTTTGGGAAAATTTGTCCGTAGCTTTTGTGAGAAAGACAAACATAACCTTCGAAAGGCACAAGCTATTAAACAGAAAACAGAGGGACAGAGAATCATTAGAACAATTCTGGGGGGCACTTGCAGAAATGGCAAAAAGATGTAACATTCCCACAGGAGAAGATGAATGGATTCGAGATATTTTTATCAATAACATGAAAAACTCGGACATCCAACGGAAACTTCTCACGGAAACCCTACCTCCACTAGAAGCCTTAAATGTAGCCCTGATTGACGAAAAAGGAATAACAAACCACATCAAAATGACGAGTACTTTTAAATCCAACGGATATTCTTCCAACAAATCTTTTAATCATTTTAATGTAAAAAGAGAACCAACCCTAAACATCGAAAGAACTAACACATGTATGAAATGCGGCTGAAATTTTACAAAAGGACATCTAGCGGTTTGCCCCGCTAAAGATACGACTTCTACGACTTCTAAAGATACGACTTCTACGTAAATAACGAGGACACTTTACTAGACTCTGTAAATCACGCCGTAAAAATGTAAATATTGTGGATAGTCAAATTGTAAATAATACAGATCATAATTATCCTTCGGAACAACCGGATGTACATATCGACCACGCCAATAGAGAATGCTGTGGAGTAATCAACGCATGGTCGGAGTCCGA